CACAATTAGAACTGAAAGCCCTATGGTACACAGTCCAGCAAGACACACCTCATGGCTTAAAACAGGAGGTGAAGATTGGCACCCCGTTGAGACTGGCAACACACCAGCTCTTACAAGGAGTTTGAGCACCGAAAATCTCCCCTTCCAAAAGTTCCCAGTCTTTAGGCCAACCATTCTGAAATCAACCCTTCTCTGAGCCCTTCCCCAGAGACAGAGTTGGGAGTACTACCAAGAATCATTATCATCCCTCAGAAAAATGATTCCTAGCAGCATTTTTACACTGCTACCAGGATTGGGTTTTTTTCTCTAAGTTAGTTTGAGACACATCCTACAGTGCTAGGCTTCTAGAATCTTTGTTTAGATTCCAGTTTCCCAATTATCTTCCCATATCCTTAAGATTGTCAATGGGAATCTTAATAATCATGGACTGAACCTCTGAAACCATGAGCCAAAATATATTTTTCCTCCTCCTATTGTTCTTGTCAGTTCTTTTGGTCACAGCAACAAATAAGCTGACCAAAATAGCATGCGTGCGCGCGCGCACACACACACACACAGCTCACTTACAAATGTCTCTTACCCTGTCTGCTGCAGTATCATTTGCATAGTGAATTATTTTTTTAGGCAAGAATTTTTTAAGGATTCAGCGTTCACATATCAAATATCCCTTGCAGGCATCCCTTTATTGTGTGGATTCATTTATTGAACAGTGCTAGTAGTAATAGCAACAGCAGCTAATAGCTGATGTTTATTGGATGCCTCCTGTATATTAAATATTGTTCTAAAAACTTGCACATAGCGTCTAAACCTCATTTTGACTCACGTTTTGCTTTTCCTTCTACAGATGCTAAAACTGGAGACTCAGAGAAGTTTGGGCATGTGCTCAAGGTCATACTGCTCACCTACAGTGTGACAGAGCCGGGATGTAGGCTCCAGTCCTTCTTGGTCCAAAGCCTGGGCTCTTCACACTACCTCCCACATGTAGCCCTGCTCACAGTGAGAACAAGGTGGAGAAAGGAACATGGGATCCAAGCCTAAGGTGTTGGTGAGCTAAATCTTGTCAGAAATAATTTATGACCAAAGGTATTGGGTTGAAATAGAGTTGGCTTCTTTGATGGCTTTTTTTTTTTTTCTGCTTGCAGACATCTCTGGCTCTCTGAGTGCTTTCCTCTTTTCTTAATCCACATTTGAGCATGTGCACATTGCACATATGAATAATATCTCTTCATTTGCATCTCACTAAGGCAGAAGTCAAAATGCTCTGGAGTATATTATTCTTCTGCCACTGTTTGTTCTCCTCTGCTTGGCCTGCTCATGGCTGTTTGCATTTTTGTTTCCAGTTCAGTTGTGTAGAATACAAATGCACTTGTTCTAGAATTGAAAATAAATCTGGAGAGGGGTTGAGTTATACAGTATGTGGGGAAAGCATACTTGTTCATGAGGGACATTTCCTGTGCTAATACACACAGAATGGTTTCATAATCTGTTGTGAATAAGATGTGAATGGCAGGCCCCAATAACCTAAATTAATTTAAAAAAATTTTTTAGTACTGGGGCTTGAACCCAGGGGGATTTTATACTGAGCTACAATCCCAGCTATTTTCATTTCTTATTTTGAGACAGGGTCTTGCTAAATTGCTGAGAGTGGCCTTGAACTTGTGATCTTCCTACCTCAGCCTCCCGAGTAGCTGGGATTACAGGTATGCAACACTGCACCCAGTTAGAAAATGTTTTTTTCAATTAAAAATAACAAAATTGGGGATACTATTAGTGGAGCATTCTAGCTATAAACTATGTTATTTAGTAATAGGCTCTATTAGTAATTTGTCTTTGGGGGCCCATGTCAACTCTCACTTCCCTCAGACATCTGACTCTAGCATAGGCTAAGAAACTCACCTAGAAATAGAATGAATCAGACATAACTTTCCTATGTCCATATATGAATATACCACCAGTGAAACTCCATATCATGTACAACCACAAGAATGGGAAGTTACACTCCAATATGTCAAAATACAGTCCACTGTCATGTATTTTATGTCTAAAAAGAAAAAAAAATTTTTTTAAAAATAAAAATAAATTTAAAAAAAAAACTCACCAACCCCAAAGTCAAAAAAGACCTCACCTATAGGTCCCCAAACCACTCTAAGTTCCCTGTCATCATTATCCACTGAGAGCCCCCTCCCAGTCCTTCTTTCTACTCTTATTTCTAATCAGATCTCAGGAATTATGCTTGTTCATGGACAGAAACCACTTGTGTTATGATATGCCAACAGTGAGGTCTTGGAAATCATGGCCACCCATCTTCATAGCCATATTCTAGGTTTTTCCATCACCCAAAACTCTGGAACCCTGATATTCTACTTTGGGGGCATGTTTTACTATGCTCTGATTTGCTCGTTTCCTACAGCACTTGTTCCCTGGTCTCATGGAGTATTTCAGTTTCTTGGGTCCCCATTTTTTTTAATATTTTATTTTACTTATTTATTTTGCAGCCAGCATCACTTTCCCTTCCTAACCAAGCCTACATTCCCAAATGAGTTCCCCAAAGTTTCCTCTGTCCTCTAACCTTGATTACCTTGCATCTCTATCTCTCACATCACCCAGGAAAATTCCAACCCTGTGTCAGTTCTCTAGCCCCTTCCTCCATCCCAATGCCCATCACCTATACCCTGCTGACAGAAACCTGGCAGCTCACGGGACTGGTTCCCCTACATACACCTTCACGGCTTCCAAATTCATCTGAGCCTTACCTGACTACTTGTCTTTGGTCAGCACCTACTTCCATTACCCACAATAATTATTCCAAGTGTGTGCTGTTTCCTACCCACACCTTAGATCCTCTCTTTTGTAGGATGATCCTGCTTCATTCTTTACCAGTGAAACTGAGATCATGAGGCATACCCGTCCTCACCTTTTCTCATGCCTAACTGCTTACTCATGTGCAATATGCCAGTCAGCTAGGACTGCCACAACCAAATAACACAGGCTCCATGACTTAAATAACACACATTTAGTTTTCCATAGTTCTGGAGTCCGGAAATGCCAAGATCAAGGTTGTGGCAGGGCTCATTTTCTGGAGAGGGCTTGATTGCTGCCTCAGAGACAGCTGTCTTCTGTATGTCTTCACAGGACCGTTCCTCAGAATGCGCACCCAGGGGATGGTGGGAGAAGTTCCCTGGTTTCACTTCTTAGAAGGACACCAATCTGATTGGATCAGGGCTCCCCACCTTTATGACTTCACTTAACCTTAATTACTTCTCGATTCCAAATGTAGCCACACTGGGGTTAGGGTTACAACACATGAACTGAAGGTGAGAGCAAAGGGACACGTAAGTCAATCCAAAGCTACAACCACAGAAACTTTGATTCTTTCACGCTAAATTCAGAATATATGGTATCTTTTCTCTCATTAATAGAGAAATGCAAATCAAAACTACTCTAAGATTCCATCTCACTCCAGTCACATAGCAGCTATTAAGAATACCAACAACAATAAGTGTTGGCGAGGATGTGGGGGAAAAGGTACACTCATACATTGCTGGTGAGACTGGACATTGGTGCAGCCAATATGGAAAGCAGTATGGAGATTTCTTAGAAAGCTGGGAATGGAACCACCATTTGACCCAGGTCTCACACTCCTCAGTTTTTACCCAAAGGACTTAAAAACAGCATACTATAGGGACACAGCCACATCAATGTTTATAGCAGCACAATTCACAATAGTTAAACTGTGGAACCAAACTAGATGCCCTTCGGTAGATGAATGGATAAAGAAAAGTGGCATATATACACAATGGAATATTATTCAGCATTAAAAGAGAATAAAATCATGGCGTTTGCAGGTAAATGGAGTTGGAGAATATAATGCTAAGTGAAGTTAGCCAATCCCTAAATACCAAATGCCAAATTTTTTCTCTGATATAAGGAGGCTGATTCATAATAGGTTTGGGAAGGGGAGCATGGGAGGAATAGAGGAACTCTAGATAAGGCAGAGGGGTTGGAGGGAAAGGGAGGGGGCATGGAGTTAGAAATGATGGTGGAATAAGATTAGGGTATCATTACCCTAAGCCCATGTATGAAGACATAAATTGGTGTGAATATACTTTATATACAACCAGAGATATGAATAACTGTGCTCTATATGTGTAATATGAATTTTAATGCATCCTGCTGTCATATATAACTAATTAGAATAAAAATAAATTTTAAAAAAATAGTCAACCCCATTTTCCTGTACACCATCTCTTCCAGAACCTTATTCCAATAACTATGTTCACCTTCTCTCTCCTCTATGGAGAATAACGAAAGAGCACAATGCAGCATCCCAGGGTTCAAAAAAACTTAAAATCTGCTCAGAGAAACAAAATGAGAACAACTATTAAAGTAGATGGCAGCAGGTCAGGTAAAAGCTTCAATCTAACATTGCTTCATGAATCTATCACACAAGTGTAGAAGGCCAGTACTGGACCCTTCCAGATAACCACAAGGTCATCTGGTACTTCTGTCCCAGGCAGCCATCCAACTAAATGGACCAAGAAAGATAGCTGTCTAGCTTCCCATTAAAAACCTCCAGAGACAAAAATTCCAACAAGTTTCCATCCCAAATTGGCAGTTACACTGCCCTTAGGAGCATTCAGAAGGGATATATTTTGATGGTGAGCCAATCCTTTCAATTTTCTCCTGTTTCTTAAAATGCCTCATTCAAAAAGACCACAAGGCAATCAACTGAAATTACTTTCTGGAAATGAATCATGTGAAACTCTGGGAAAGTACAGTCAGCCCCAGAACTATCAGAGTTCCAATAACTCAATTTCTTCTTGGAGGACTTGATGGCCTCTGGGTTATACCCTAAAAGAGTACTGTGGCCTGGTAGCCAAGGGTAACCAGAGCATGTCTGGAGGGTAAGACATACACACATGGACAAACATATACCCACAATTCTCGCCCTAACCAAAATCTCTGATGTCTCCTATTCCTCTGCTTTTTCATTTCTCCCTAGGAGGCTTGGTCTGGAACCTTGGAATTTGCCTGGTCTGATTGATGGAAGTCATCCAACCCTGTCTCAGTGGTTGACAGAGGCTTTGCATCAAGGTCATTAACCCTGAACAGTCAAACAAACCTAATTCAGGAATCGCCAGACTGATGTTCAGAGTTGACCATGGAGCAAATCCACTTTTCCTCTTGCCCACAGCATCACAGATAGACTCTGGAGCCCAAGAGCAAGGACCACTGCACAGAGGAAGTCAGAATCCAAAGAAGACCCCTGCCAATGAATGTAGACCATCTGCAATAGTCATTAGTAAAGTTTCTCCTTATAAATGTTTCCCTATCTTATGTCCAAGATATATAACCCCTAGACTTTCCACTTCTAAAATAACTTTCCTTCTTGGAAGGATTTAGTCACTAAAATGCATGAAGAAGGCTAGAAGGTATTAGTGTGCTAGTATATTTTAGAGAAAAGGGACCAAGTTAAAGACAGAACTGAAAACCTGGACCTACCTCTAACACTACCTACATCACAATGAGGAAATCCAAGTATTCAGTGTCCATAACCATTAAACAGAGGAAATGAGTGAATGAGGACCCTGACACAGCTCATCTGAACTGATGATGCATATAATTATGACATCATCACTGTTGCACATTTATAAAATGAATTGTACTTTTAACAAATGAAAAATAATAATCAAATGTCTTAGCTTATTCATTTCAAATCATCATCTTCTCCCATCAACTTTAAGAGACATCATGACATAGGAGACTACTATACAGGGAGTCGTTTCACCTCATTTTACCAGGTGGTAAATCCAAAGCCCAGAGAGGTCTCTTGTTTTACTCAAGTTCTCACAGCTTTTATAAATAGCTGAGACCAAATTCCAACCCAGGTCCTCTGATTCCAAAAATAAAGTCTAGACATTATATAATTTTTATATTCAGACAAAGTCCTAGACACTATAGGTTCTGCAGAGCTTATCTGTGAGACTCCCAATTTACTGCTTTCCCTAGAATAGTCTTCCAAATTACAATACTGCATGCCTCTATCTGAGAAAACTACATCAGATTAAAACCCCCCTGAAGACTTCCAAGCTCTCCCTGTTCTAACAAGGTCTAGTATCTCAAGCACTGAATTTATGTAACACGGTACAATTATTTGCAAATTGATAACTATTCAGAATGAACAAGACTCAGGAAAATTGTTGAGTACAACAGGTATAGTTCAGTGATTTTTCTGGTAGCTCAATATCTAATTAGGAATTCAAGACATAGGGTACATACAAATGTACTTTGCATGAGCTATGACTGCCTTGATGTGCTCTATAAGAAAAATAGCCATTTTCTAGACCATCATAGTCACACAAGAGTTCTCCACATAAAGAGCTTCAAACAAAATGCTTTCCTTACAGAAAATAGATTGCTAACTCACTAATATTTACATGAAGTTCTTTGGAATATATCATACCTATTAAAAAGAATGTCTTAGAGTAGTGTTGTCCAATACAAGCATAATACAAGAAACTTAAATCATCTTGTACTCACATTTATTGAAGTTTAAAGGAAATAGTGAATACATTTTAACATATTATATTTCATGTGATATATCTAAAATATTGTTATTTCCACCTACAAGCAACAAAAAAAAAGTATTAGTGAGACATTTTAAATTTTTTATATAGAGACTAAGTCCCAGAACTCCAGATGAGCCACAGTGTGCAATACCGTATGTGATTAATGCTTACTATATTGGGCACAGCAGGGTTAAAGACAACTATTCATTCAGGGAGATGACCATGGTGTATTTTTAGGAAGGGAAAATGCAGAATAGAGGACATTACGTAGTAAAACACTCATGCTTATCAGGAAAAAACTAATATATGTCACGTATATAACTTTCCTTTAATCTAGTGAATAAATTGGCAAAATGTGTTTCTTTTAAAATTACTTAAGAAAAAGCAAAATTCAGTTGATCTAACAATCAGGAAGGGCACAAGTTTTCAAGAATAAGGGAAATAATTTTTATATTTTATTCAACATACATAATAACAAATTTGGAAATTATATAGGAAAATAATAAGCTACCATTTGAATCTCAGAATTAAAAAACATCAGAGAATTCAAAATCATTTCCTCTCTCATCCCCTCCAAGGAATCCTTCACCACTCCTTGTCTGATTATCTTGCCAGATATATCCAGTGTTCAAATGTCCATCATTTTCCAGGAATCCCATTCCATCCCAACTGCATCCCTTCCCGATTCAAGTTCTACTCCACATTTTAAATAAGCATATCAGAAATTGAAAAGTCAATTAATAACAAAGCAGAAGTAAGTGGGCCAAGAATCCAGGCTACTCTAGAAATCAGGTAGCAGAGAGTAGGGCATGGATACCATTCTCCCAAAGGTGAGAAGTGGGCCATTCAGTCAAGGTAAAGAGCAGCCGCAGGTGAGGGAAGGTCCTCAAGATCATCCCAATCACACTCCTAGCAATTCAGCTGTTTCTCCCTGCAGTTCAACAAATAATGGCCTAATCTTTACCCAGTGCAAAGTAGCATGAAAGACCATGTCAACAATCCTAAAAATGTTGATTAATATTCCCTAAAACATATAATCATATGGATGCTTTGGGAAAAGTAATTGGAAACAAGACTTGGCTGCATAACTTATTCTCTATTCCACAAAGGTTAGAAAAGAAGTCCCCTAACAAACAAGAAGGCATAAGTCAGCTTCCCACTCAGCGAAAATCCTTACCCTAGTGCTTTCCTAGGGAAGTATTCTCCATGCCCTGCTGAAATCAATACAAGACTTCCATAAATAAATGAATGCATCTGATGGTCCTATCAGATGAGCTAATGCCTTTCATTTTAGCTGACTCTCATAGCAACATATGTGAAAGAGACTCCCGCTATGATGAGCTCAAGGCTCACATTCAGAGTTCTGAAATTAGTAAATCATCAAGCACTGGTAATTTTTATTTTTAAGTGCTGTATGTCTGTATGGAATCACAGCCTAAGAAAAGGAAGTGAAAGAAGACATGGTAGATAGCAAGGAATAGTTAGGTATTATACCTGCTGATTGCTATAGTACAATCACTCATAGCTCTCTGTTGCTATTAGCTTTTCTTCAGGAAAGAAGAGAAAAGAGAAAAGAGAGAGGAGAGAGGAGGGGAGAGGAGAGGAGAGGAGAGGAGAGGAGAGAGAGAGAGAGAGAGAGAGAGAGAGAGAGAGATTGCACAAATAAAAACACTGTTGTTCAGGACACCTACTATAGGAAAGAGTACCATTATCTCAATGGGAGACCCATGGCCACGTCTTCCCATGTCTCCCTCTAGGAGTGTCATTGAGACATTTTGAATCCCATGATGTCAAAACTTGATGACAATGTGATTTATTCCAAATAGCCTTTGATTCCTTTAATAGCCCATTATGAATCCATCACACATTAATTTGCTCAAGGTCTTGAACTTTTCTATCATTTCAATCTGTGCTACATTTTAGAGAATAAAAGTTCCACAAAATAGATAAAATGAAGGTTTATCTCATATACATTCTTAAACTGCTTAGCTTAGTCCCTGAGGGGTTGCCTCTAATTCTGTCATGGTGAGATTTTACATCAAGTCCATCCGAGTCCTTGTGCCATCCAAGTCCTTCATAATTTTTTGAACTTCTAAAGTGCCTCTTTAACCTTTATGTGCAGGACAGCCAGGAAACTGGCCAGACTGGACTTGTCATTGTTTCTGCCTGGGAGGTTTTCTTAATCCATTTGAGCTGCTATAACAAAATACCAAAATAAAAAGGGCAGCGGGGGAGGTGACTTATAAAAAAAAGAAAAATCTATGACTTACAGTTCTAGAAAGTAGGAAGTCCCAAATCAAGGCACCAATAAATTTGATGTCTTTCTGGTTCAGAGACTTCCATCCTCTTAATGTGTCCTCACATAGTAAAAAGAGCAAATGAGTTCTCTCCAAGATCTTTTATAAAGATTCTAATCCCTTCATGAGGAATCCACTCTCAAGACCTACTAAGTTCCCTAAGGCTTCTCCTCTTAAAGTTATTACCTTGGAGGTTAAGAACCAACATATGAACTTGGGAGGGACACAAATATTTAACTCATACCAGAGATCCTCACAATGGTTTTTTTCCACTAGAAATGACATTTAGAGCATTAGCCTCCCATACAGTCTTCAGAAATAACACCCACTCAATAAATTGCTAACTAAACCAAGGACATTAGCCATCCATCTCTAGCTGTTTATCTTTCTACCTCCTATTCATCCTCTGGTTTAAAATGAAAGGAGGATGGTAGGGAAATGGCAAGATGGAAGAGAAGAGGAGGCAGGCGATTATAGCTTGCTCTGCTGCTTGAAACTTGAACGACATGGATGCAGCTTCCTAATCAGGAGTTGTGTCTGAAGAAAATTATTACAAATCATTATTTGTCTGTCAGCTACTTGGGAAAGCTGAGAGATTCTGGTGTAGTTAACATGATATAAGGCAATACACATGAACCCAGCAGCGCCCATGGTGTTCTGACACTACATAATAGGGGTAGCAACATGAGAAAGAAAAACATAGTGAACAAATGTGTGGCACACAAAATGTGCTCTGTGTTTCTCAACGTCTAAGAGAAGAACTGAGGTGGAGATCAAGCTTAAGGAGTTTATGCTACATCTTGTTCCTGTGGGAACCTGAAAGTCCTCAGCTAATAATTCCACTCTCTCAGCCAGTGCTTACTGTGTGATCTAAAGTGCACCTGGCAAATCATGACTTCCAAGCAATTATGGAGAATGGAGGGTCCAGGGGAATTCAAGACCGAGGTACAGAGGAGAGTGCAACCTGCTCTCACTTTGAGCTCTGTGGCATGAACAACCAGTGAGAAAGGATTAGGAATGTTGACAGGTGGGGTGATTACATGCGGGACTGAAGAGTGCAACTCAATTTCCTGTGGCACAAATAACCAGCTGGAAAGGATCAGGAGAAATTGATCAGGTGGGCATAGCTACATTCAGGAATTAAACTTAGAATTCTATATTTGGGGAGATCCAAAATGGCGGGCTACAGGAAGGCTGCCTTCCTTGTTGCTCTGTGACCTGGGATTCAAGCAGTGAGAATACTGTTTCTCTACCAGTTATTAGAGGAGCCCCGACAGCTGCTCCAGCATAGGAACCAGCCGCCACTCCCGTGTGGACCCCCATCTACCACATGAAGCTCCCCCAGCCACTCCCATCTCGGGACACTGCAACCACTGCCATCGTCACCTGCACCTGAGGACACTGGACAGCCACACACTGCATGCCACAGAGCTGTATCTCCAAACATGCCACCCAATGCTATAAGGTCCTTCCTTAGCATCTGGGCAGCCATCTTAAGTGATAGCTGCCATTTTAAGGAAAAAGTTTCACTTTCCCACCCAAGGGCATTTCTGAGAAAGACTCACCACTGCCTCATACCAATCCAACCCCTAACGGCTCGCCTGGCTCTGATTCCTGAGCCTGCCCCATAACTGTCCCTGAACCCAAGCCTGTTTTGCCTCTCTCTCCTATAGAGAGATGGCCTTTATTTGTCAGCTCTGACAAATAAACTCTCATGTATGTCTCTGCCTCATCTCCATCTTTCATTTCTCATTTACACGTCTCTCATTCCTCTCTTTCCCTTCATTTTGGTGCCAAAACCCAGGATTGGGTTCCTAAATGTACCTGC